TTCAACTCCCAGAATTCCCTAGCCAGCCATGCTGGCTGGGGAATTCTGGGAGTTGAAATCCAGACATCTTCAAGTGGCCAAGGTTGAGAAACACTGTTTTAGTGGATTGTGACATCTAGGTTGAACAATCTGGAGCTTGGTTTCATGATCTACCCATGTGGTATTTGTTTCTGTTTTCTTTCTCAATCATACTGTGACTGGTATAATTGTTATCTTCCTCTTTATTGATACTGATGACTATAAACCATCAAGATCAGCAGCAGCCGCAGGGGGAAGGAGCCAAAAAAATCAAGATGGCGTCCACGACTAGGTGATCGAAGCTCGGCCCACTTTTGTGCATGCATCAATGTTGCACGCATATGCAAAGGGTTGGGGGTTTAGATCATGCAGTTACACGTATCTGGGCATTTTTGATCCCTCGTGCAGATCTGCTTAACTGAGAATCTATTGATCACGGCAGGTAGAAATGCAAGAAATAAATAACAGAGCTAAAGACACCAAAAAAGAGTGAATCAATGCTACCTCTCTCACACCGACTGACCGCTCGAAAGGATAAATTCTCTATGTATATCCAATATATGCCCAGATGTGACACGTGCATTCTTCAAGTAACCCTACATGTGCAATCTGGGATGGAAGAAAAGAGCCTTCATGGATGCAATTGCAGTGCCCTTACCCCATTTCCCTTCCTTGTGTGGAGGGGTACAGCCTCCTATGTGGTGCCTATGGGCATTCATCCAGTGGTGGGTATCCCTCTTGGCATATCAGGGCCCCTTCCCATGCCTCTTTTAAGTTTATGTCAAGATGGATTGGACTTTAAACCAAAATGTAAAAGGAAGGCTGCATGCACGAAGCGAAACAACTCTCCTCCCGGCATCATTTTTTCTTTCCAGAAAGGCCACAAGGCTGACATGGGCCACAGAAACAGTTTTAGAAAATAAAAACAATGGGGGGGATGAAGCCTAGGAAAAAGAAAGGAAGAAGCTGGGGATGGGGAGGGGTGGAATTCATCACTTGCTTCTCTAAATGGCTCTTTTCCTCCAGCCATGCTCCTCCTACCAGCTGTTTGGGGAATGGACAAGTTTCTCCTGATAGTTATTTTATGGGGCTACTCAGGACATACTCACATGAAACTCTCCCCAAAGGACTGGAGACTCTTAGGGTAGGGACAACATGCTTCCAGAGGGCTTACTATGCATCCATACCATAGGAACTCCACAGCATTCTGCTTTATATCTCTTTGGATCAGTGTTTCTCAACCTTGGCAGCTTGAAGATGTGTGGACTTCAACTCATCTGGGAATTCTGGGACTTGAATTCTGGGACATCGTCAAGTTGCCAAGGTTGAGAAACACAACTCTGGATGTACAAAAGATGAAATATGCCCATCTTCTCGCTGGACTTGATTATGTAAGCACCAAGTCACCAAATCAACTAGCATTTTATCCTTTTGGCAAGTTCTTTCACACAGAAGATGCCCCAGATAGTAGGATAGATATGGGAGCAATAGCTAGCTGGATGGGTGGACAGACAGATGGACGGATAGATGCCCAGACAGAGGGATGGATTGATTGACAGGAAAATGGATGGATGGACGGATAAATGACTCTAATTTTTCTAAAGCGTGTTTATAGGGCCATTTTGAGACTGTTATAATGCACTTGGTTCTGACATGGGATTCAGCACAAGTTCAGGAGCATTTTCAGGAAGTAATTCTTGCTAACAGAAAAGGCATATTATTCTGTGCATGCTTAGGGCTGTTCAAACTGAAAAGCCATTTAGAGAACAAAAGGAAGCAGAACGTTTACAAGCACAACATTTCTCATATGAAGTGATACTTGCTTTAGAGCTCTTCATGTAGAGCTTCTACTAAAGTAGAAGATAGTATTAAGGTTTTGCATCATATATCTACAGATGTAAAACAATTCCTTCTTCTTTCGGAACGAATTCCCTCCTCTCTAGCCCTCAGCTTTAGGAGACAAGGATGATACAGAACTTGTGAAGTATATCTTGGTGGGTTGTGCATCAGCACACACCTATAAGTGACACTGGAGGAGGAGGACGGGCCAGGAAGGAAGGGTGAGACAGGATTCTAATTGCCAAGGCAACCAGACTGCACTGCAGAAACACAAGGGTGCAATTAATCCCAGAGCCTCCTACAGTAGAACAGATGGGACCTTCTTCTGACACTGTCAGCTAGATCAGTCTTCTCCAGTGTGGTTCTCTCCAGATTTCTAGGGATGGGGGAGTTATTCTCCCTAGTGTCTGATGGTAGGATGAGAACCAACAGGTGGAAGCTTTACGGAAGGAAACCCAAACTCAGAAAAGGAGGAATTTCCTGACCATGCAAGAGCTATTAAGCAATGGAAGAGCTTGCCTCCTGGAGTTGTAGGGGTTCCATCCTTGGAGGTTTTCAAGCCAAGGTTGGACAGCCATTTGTCTGGGGTGGTCTGAGCATTCCTACCAAGGCAGGGGCTTGGATTAGAAGTCCACCAAGGTCCCTTCTAAGCCTTTGATTCTACAAAGTGTTAAGTTTCAATTTAATATTGTTTATATTAGTTTTTGGGGGACGCGGTGGCGCAGCGGCTTAATGACGCTGAAAGTTGCCAGCCAGAAATGGTCGATGCTTCAGCGGTTCGAGTCCAGCCTTCGCGTTATACAGAGTGAGCTCCTGTTTCCTCCCCAGTTCCTGTCATCCCAACAGGTCGAAAACTCATGTGAATAGATAAATGGGGACTCTCACTCCGGTGGGAGGAAAAATGCTGGTAGCGCCTTGCAAAAAGGAGTCGGGAGCAGTTGCTGGTAAGCGCGAAAAAACTGCGTGCGCCCAAAAAGGGCGCGAAGCAATGGAAACCCCACCTCCTGCGCTCGCCAGCTCGGCTCTGCTCTAGCAAGGAGGCTCTGGCAAACCACTTCTGAAAAACAATTGCCTTGAAAACTGCAAGGACTTGTC